GTACTTCATCCATCTGCCTGTTCTGCTCCCCACTCTGTCTCTGGTGAAGACTCTCACCCTCCGCATCTCTGGCCTGTACCCCAGTTCTGTATGAATAAATAAATAAATCTTAAAAAAAAAAGTACCAAGAAAGAGTTTTAAATACATGGTAACAAAGTAAAAGATGTTATGGTAGTTCTAGTTGAAGTAACAAAACAAATTATACTGGTTTAATAATTTGGGTTTAAAAACAATTATGCTTTCTCCTTCTAAACTAAATTTTTATACTGTGCAAGACTCCAGGCTGTATTCCATGAAAAGTCTAATTTGTTTAAATTTCTTAAATTCCCTTTGCTGGTTTTATTATTTGAGTAGAGTCCACACTTAAAATAATGAGAATGTAAAACTGTGTGTTCAAGTAAATTGAATTATAATATCATGTCTTTTAGAAAGGGATTGTTCTTTGGCACTTGAGATAACTATAAATATAAAACTAAATTATTCCTCATATCTATCTGGTAAAATTATTAAAATGTCATCTTTCTAGAAAATCCAATGCATCACTAGTAACTGTGTTTCTCTATAGTGTGTTAGCTGACACATCATTTCTAAAAGTCTTATTGACTTTGGGGACCTCCTTGGTGGTGCAACGGGGAGCACTACGAAGCACAGCACTATGAAGCTAGGGTGACCCACAAGGCGTGGTAGACCTCTCCTGTCTCACCTGCTGCTCCTCTCAGCAGTGACTTCGTCAGCTGGCCTGGCCTGTTTTGCTCCCCACTCTGTCTCTGGTGGATCCTCTCACCACCCTTGCACTGCAGGCCTGTACCCTAGTTCCATCCACATAAATAGATAATCTTTTTTAAAAAGTCTTAATTGGATTTGGTGATGGGAAACCCAAGGGGACTGCAACTGAGATGGAAAAATGCACAAAAATATGTAAAAGTAAACTAATATAATAATAAAAAAATTTTAAAAAGTCTTAATTGACTTTAAGACCTTGAACTAATATTTCATTTTGTTAATTATTGAATAATCTTGAATTGGGTATAGACCATTCTAAATGGAAATAAATTTATAAAGACAAAATATGAAAATGCCTGGTTATAAAGCATAATTTTTCTATGTCTCTCTTGTATCTTATTGTTAACAGAAAGAGCTTTAGTTATCAATTGAGGAACAAGTGTGGACACCTTTGCTTAACTTCATCACTTCAGGAGGTACAAAGGTGTCTTTTTTTTTTTTTTTTAAAGATTTTATTTTATTTGTGCATGCAGAACTGGGGTACAGGCCAGAGATGTGGAGGGGGAGAGAATTCACCAGAGACAGAGTGGAGTGCAGAACAGGCAGATCAACGAAATACACTGCTGAGGGGAGCAGCGGGCCGGTCAGGAGAGGTCTGCCACACCATGTGGTCACCTCCGGGGCAGGCGGGAATCGAACTCATGCAGAAGGGGCTTTAGATTCTCAGAGATGGACTTTAACCCGCTGCGCCACCAGGGAGGGCCCAGAGGTGTCTTTTATGGGAACACTGACAAACTTAGGGGCCTCGGAGAAGGCGAGGCACAGGCTTTGCAGATGGAAATGGGCAGAAATGAAATGGACTATTTTTGGTTCCTTACAAACAAACTAGTAAGGACAGTAAAAATGCCTCTGGCAAACAGAATGACCACGCTATGATTCCCAAGGCTTTACTAAATCTCCAGGAGAAGCTAATTCCAAAAGTGCAGTATCACATAGCTCTTGACTGTTCTCTTTTCCTTTCGATACTAATTAACATACAGAAGAGCTATCTATTCATTAGTATCTCCTATTGAGAAGTGTAAATAAAACTAGTCAAAAAGTAAGACATGAAATTAGTAAGCTGAAGTAGAAAATGCCTGAACAAAATTTAGGTGAGCACATCCATGCTTCTGGGGCTGAAAATCAAAACCATGGTCCAGTTCTGCCACCAATATGACCATGAACCACACACCACAAACAGTAAAACAGTCTTCTGTATCTAGAGGCCTTTCCCCGCTAAGGAATACTCTGATTGCAACATCTCCTTAAAATAAATGAAACCTTGACCCCTTTCCATAAATATCTAAGCCCCTATGTGAGAACAATGTTCTCCCCACATTTGCTGCAGGCACGGATGTCATGAGGAAATTGCTGGTTTTCCTCCACAAGGAGACTCACTGTACCTTGATGGTATTTTCCTTCCTTCTTGCTGTCTGGTGTATTAGGATAGTCTTTCTTCCACAGTGAAGACTTTAGAGATGAAGATACTTTTCTTAATGTTTCTGTGAGTCTTTTACAACTGCACCCTTCCTGCTTTTAGAATTTTGTAATTTTTTTTGGTAATGGCATCAGGACATATTATTTTATTCTTGAATATCACTCCATCTTCATGAGTTTATGCTTTAGCTCTCTGACTGGATTATGTACTTTCTGACCCCAACCTCACCTCTTAGTTCTTTGCACAGCCCAAAGAACCAGCATGCTTTCTCACAGTAGATGTCAATAACTAACTGAAGGATTGATCTATCAATTATGTATTACTGTGATTTACTGAAAAGTAACTTTATTTTCCTGAAAAGTAACTTTAAAAGAAAAATTGTTTTAGTCTATCATTAATCTCTCCCTGATGTGACTTTCATGTATTTAGATGCTCTGAAAAATACACTACCTAAACAGCTTCTTATGTCTGCATTTTTTCCAGTATACAAATAATCCATATTAAAAAATCTCTGCTATTCAGCTGACTCTATGTATCAAAATTATTCAGGCTTAAATTTTTTTAATTGAAACTATGTACACACAACTTAAAGAATCAAGCACTTCTATATATCTTATTACCAAAACTAGCATTCCCTTCTACCACCCACCCACTCCTTCCTAGTGGAACTCCTTCTGACTCATTTAACTGCTTCTTTTGTTTTCACTTCCCTATCTCTAACAGCTTAAAAAACTGTTACTTAAAACTCATATTAAAGCGTTATCTATTGGCTTTCCACAGAAGAAGCTCTTTCCCTCCTCAGTCATACATATACACCACCTGTCTCTCATCCTGTTCCTCACACAGTTTTACCATCATTTTATTGGATTAGTCCATTCTGTTTTTACATCGAGTATTTAGGAAAACACTGTTCAAGCTAAGTCATATCCCAACAGCAGTCTCCTTCTTGCACATCTTGTTTCATAAATTTAGATATTAACTATCTTATTCTTTTCATTTGCTTTGTTTTCTATGTGTCTGCCAATAGTTCATCACCAAACTCTCTCTCTCTCAAATATCTGAATCTTCTATATTCTGGTATTTTTTTCAGTTTCCTTTTCTTGGAGACAATGTCCTTAAAGCTGGAACCTGGATGACTCCTTTTCACCCTTCAGACCTCAGCTCTTCAGAAAGCTTTCCCATACAATGCAACATGTCTTTGAAAGTACTGCCTCTTGCCCCAACATTCTGTTTGTTTGCCCATAAATATTTATCACAATTCATAATTATTTAATTTTTCTCCTCTACTAGTCTTTGAGTTCCAGAAGTGGATGGAATGCATTGGCACTGTGCTTAAGAGGAGCTTGACATATACTCATTGAATAATTGTTCTAATAAAGATTCCTACTTCCAATGTGGAGATAAATGAATCCTCTTACACTGCTGGTGGGAATGCCAACTGCCAGCCACTATGGAAAGCTGCATGGAAGCTCCTCAGAACACTAATTGATGGATCTACTGTATGATTCATCAATTCCACTCCTAGGAAGTTATACAAAGTACACAAAAACACTAATTCAGAAGTGTTGATTAGCACTCCCATGTTAATTACAGCACTATTTATAACCAAGATATGCAAACAACCCAAATAACCCAAATGACCCCAAATAGATAAATGGATCAAAAGTTGTGGTATATTTACACAGTGGAATGTTACTCAGCAATCAAAAGGATAAATTCATACCATTTGTGGCAACATGGATAGATGGAGCTGAAAGAGATTATGCTAGCGAAAATAAGTCAGAAGGAAAAAAGATACATATTGGATGGTCTCACTTATGTGAAGAATATAGAGGAACCAAACAAAAGGTCAAAAAAAAAAAAAAAAAAAAAGACAAACCAGCAAGCTGACCATTGATCTAAGGTATGCAGCAGGAGAAGGGGGAGTGATGGGGGTGAAATCAGGGAATGGAAGAACACAAGGCAATATGGTAATGATTCATGAGTGATAAGGTGACAGAAGAACTACAGGGATTACATCTGAGGGGAGAAGCCAATCACTGTACAAAAGTGAACAACAATGTAAAAAAATTTCAAGAAAGTGATATGTATATAGCCATTAAAAAAAGTAATATTTAGTGAAACACTTAAAATAAATATTCCTATTGTTAATCAATACCTCAGTGTAACAGTATACTTCTGTTACAACAAAAACCTAATCTTGTAAAAATACAAAGATTTCAGAGGTGAAACAGGCTTAAAGATGCTTCAGAATTTTCCTCTTACATATGAGAACCTAAAATTTTAATCTAAAATATACTGTTCATGGATTGGAAGAATTAGTTTTGTCAAAATGACCACCTTACCCAGTGCAGTGCTAATCAATTGCATTCTTCAAAGAAGCACAACAAACATTATTGAGGTTCATGTGATACCACAAACAACCCTGAATAGCCAAAGCAAAAAGTAAAAAGCTGGCAGTATTACACTCCCAGACTTCAAACTATAATACAAAGCTGTGATACTCAAAACACTGTGGTGATGAAACAAAAATCAAGGCATAGACCAAAGAAAGAAAACTGAAACGAAGCCCATATCTCATGGACAGTTAATCTATAACAAAGGTGCCAGGAGAATACATTGGACTACCTCACATCATGCAAAAAAACCAACTCAAAATGGTTTAAAGAACTATACATAAAACCCAAAACCATAAAATATCTAGAAAAGGTAGGTGAAATGCTGCATTACATACACCTTAATAGTATCTTTAAAGATACATCACCCAAAACAAGGATAGTGAAAGAAAGGATAAACAACTGCGACTATGTCAAGTCAAAGAGCTTCTGTACAGCAAGAGAGACTCTACACAAAACAAAGACAAGCCCCACTGACTGGATGAAAATATTGGCACACAATACTAATGACAAAGGACTGATCACAAAAGTACACAAAGAGCTGATGAAACTCAACAAAAATAAAGTGAACAACCCCATCAAAAAATGGGTAGAGGCCCTCCCTGGTGGCGCAGCGGGTTAAAGCACTGCACTGAGAAGCTAAAGCCACTTCTGCATGAGTTCGATTCCCGCCTGCCCTGGAGG